AATGAGCAACAATATATAAGTGCAAATGACAAGTCTCGGTTAGCCTAACGCAGTACACGTAGCAAGGTGTGTGTGTGTATATATATATATATATATATATATATACACAAACAAAGAAAAACAAGTAGAATAGAAAGCTAGAGTTTTTTTTTTTTTTTTTTTTTTAAAAAAAAAAAAAAAAAAAAAAAAATATATATATATATACATATACATATATTAAAATGCTACTCATTTCTCACAACTTTGTCAAGTGATAATTCATAATAATAGCTTGATATTATTATTATTATTATATTACAAAATCATCATAATAAAGATCACACTAAAAAAAAATTTACATTATATTTTATCATTGCTTAATTGTTTTAATATATTATTCATATATTTGATATAAAACGTTTTGTTAATTAATACAATAATTTTATTATTAATATTTTATTAAGTTATAAAAATATATATTGTATAAATTATAATAAAAACAACAACAATAAAAACATCACACTGACTTACTACTATTATTAATAACAATTATTTTGAATAATAATGACAAAAATAATAATAGGTATCCTCATTAACATTATACTACTATTTACTATACAAGTCCTGCAGGGTGGCAAATAATTATTATTTAAAAAAAAAAAGAAATAAAAATTTGCAGACTCACTTTCAACTGTCCAATGGTTTTGAATCTGTACACTTCATTCTCCCAGAGATCCATGTTCTTTCCAAGCACTTTTTGACACTTTCTGTCAATAAGGAATACACAGAGAGAAATGGGGCGTTTATCAAGGCTTTCATTCATATTTTAAATGGTTAACAGATCAATAAATCAGAGGGTTGATGTCCTGTACCTGGCAGCTGCATCATAATCTCCTCTCTCCACCAGATGATTGATGTACGCCATTCCAATTTTCTATTCACAGGGCACAGACAGGAAGCAGCCACACTGTGATTCCAGGTTATTATCTGAGAGCGTTATAATAACTAAGACTAGCTTTCTCCAGATTGCATCATTCATTTGTTTTCACCTGTACATCATGCCGTTTAATGTTTTTGAAGCTGATCTCTGCAGCCATCAGTGCTTCCTGTGCAAAACATCCGAATCAAATCAGAAATCATTAAGTACAACTCAAATTTTCAAATGTTATGATGATATAAATGCTTCCTTAGACTGCTGAACACGTACCTCATATTTCTTCTTCTCCAGAAGCCAGTCAATGTGGTCGTCCTGGTCTCTTTCTTTAGCCACTACAATGTCTTTAGGGCTGATGATGTAGAACAGAGACTCTCCCTCAGAGTGTTCTGGAATCACATCAAAGATTTAAAATGATGATTATATAATCCAAATGTGAATTTTACTGATTAGACTGTGGGTTTGGGGTGATTTGTATCCCTCTGCGTATTCTAGTTGTTCATTCATCCTGTTGTCATCATACCGAGCCTGTAGTCCCTGCACTGGTTCTCCTGGAAGTTGCGTACAGTGAGAGCATCTGATGAAATCTCCTCACAGCCCTCAGCTAACGGCTGGATGATGTCTAAACGAGGCCGTGTTCTGAACTCCTCCTCCTGTGACACACAGAGTTATATTTATTAATATGTACATTCTACGCTCACAGTAATACAAAACAAAAGGTTTCTAATAAGATACTTTGTATCTAAAGCAGCGGTTCTCAACATTTTTTGACTCTGAGGCTCCCTATCGCCAAAGACATTGTTTGATATTTCTGGTACTTCTGCTGCAGTGACAAAGCTGCTTTTTTCAGCCTTTTTTATTTACAGAAACTGGCAGCGGCAATACATTAAAATAATTAAAATATTTATAAATCATTAAATCCAATACTTCTATAGATTTATGAGACTTTTATAGTAGTTTCTGATAACTGGGATTTTATAAAAAAAAATATTTTGTACTCACAAACATTAATTTTTACCCAATAAAATCTTTTTGAGCTTGACATAACTTTATAGAAATTTGGGTAACACTTTATAATAACTTTTATTTATAAATCATTAACAAACATGATATCATGTTTAACAGATCATTAGTTAATATATTTACATAACTATTTCTATTTACATAGAAATATGAGATAATTTTCCTGTTAATGTTTACTAATGAACTTACTAAACAATTAATCATTTGTTCATGTTTTTGCAGTACCCAATCTAAAGTGGAAATTATTTATCATTTGCAAATGTTTATAAATGTTAACTAATCATTAATACTTTTATGAGCAGTCATCTCGATGGCAAAAAGTGTCCCGAAAGACCCGAATTTACCCTATTCACACATCTTTACTAATCATTTATTAATCAATTGTTCATGTTTTTGCAGTAGCCAATCTAAAGTGGAAACTATTCATTTGTAAATGTTTATAAACGATTACTAATCATTTAGTATCTTTATGGGCATTGGACTTTTAGCTAATGTAACAAGGTGTGTGTAAAGGGTGGCTGGTTAAGTTTAGCTAAACGCTTGCTAAAGACATACCAGATTGTAATGTTGGTGCACCAATCTAAAGCTGAAACTATTCATCATTTGTAAATGTTTATGAACGATTACTAATCATTTAGTATCTTTATGGGCATTGGACTGTAACAAGGTTTGTGTAAAGGGTGGCTGGTTAGGTTTAGCTAAATGCTTGCTAGAGACATAACAGATTGTAATTTGTATTGCCTCAACACTCACATTAGTATACTATCTTCAGTATATCATTAAACAGATTGTAATTTTGGTGCAAAAAATGTTTTTATGGTTATGATTTATTAATGAAAGTTATTATAAAGTGTTACCAAAATGTATTTATTTGTTATAAAGGTGTGTATATATAAATTCATTTTTATTATAAAGGATTTCAATGACTTTAATTTTCTGTCATATATCCAGGTTGTCAAAGACCATGAGAATCCTGGTTCTTAAATAAACTGCCAGTTGTGAGGAAATTCATTAAAATTAACATATTGTCAGCTTATATCTTGATTTTAGCTTGATTTAAAAGCTTGCTTTGTCTCATTTGAAATGACTACAAGTCATCTTGCAGCCCCTTGGACGTTTGATGAGGCCCCTGATCTGAGCTCTGGTGAGAGTGGGTAATATATTACCACGTGCTCAGAGCTCTCCTTGACATAGTACAGAGTGACCAGCTGATCTGCCAAAGGCGCCAATCCACTAATGAAGAACTCGGTCTCAAATGCTGACACTGAAAGAAATAAGAGAAACAAACAAACAACAACAAAAATGTAATTATGTTACATGTTCTCATTATGTGTATGACTGTAATTGCTTCAGTACCAATCTCAACATAGCGACTGGGTAGATCTCTCATTTGTGTTGGGTCACGCTCTTTAACAACACATATCTGAGAAAAACAAATGAACCAAAGAACGTTATTCAAATAAAAAGAAATAGTTTTAGAAATGAGCTTTCCTAGTTATTAAAACACTTGATCTGCAGTTGTTCGGAACACACACCTTAACAGAAGAGCCCCAGCCGATGATCAGCGTGGTGTTGTCTTTCCAGCACAGACTGCAGGGGTACATATCCGGCCTAAGACTGGTGTTGTCCCGCAACACGTTAGTGATGCGCTGTTTACTGCAGATGTCGTAAATTTTCACACCCTAAAACACATCCACTACATTTGAGATAAAATCATGATTAGTAAGGTATCTTAATTAACATGTACAATTTGTGTAAATCTGATTGTACCACATTGTTTGCCCAGGCAATTAGATTGGCTGTCCATTTCACATTGGTGATGTTTCCCTCTCCTTCATGCAGAACAGAGGTCTTCCAACGGTTCAGCCAGTTCCTCTCATAAAGTAAAAGCTACAGGACATATTTCATTAATTTAAGGTTAGTAAGCATTTGCTGACAGAAATTCAACAACACAAAACAAAATAGGCCACAGTGTTTGCACTACAACACCAGAGGGCAGCAGAACATAGAGCACAAATAGGTACTAAACAACAGAGTCAAAGTCAGTGTGACTACATGTGTCTTTTATTTCTGATGTGAGACCATTTTTATTTTATTTTTTTTACCCCTACACACACTCTCTCTCTCAAAAATAAATAAATAAAGAACCACTGTTACCGGGACAGATGATACCCTAAAGGTAGAAAGGTGAAGGTTATTTATTTTATTTTTTTTAGATGTCTCTTAAAACATCACAGCTATATATATATATATTTGGTGAATAGTACAGTAAAAGCATTAAAAGTATGATCATTTAAAATAGCTGTTATCTATTTTAATGTATGATGATAAAGCTAAATTTTCAGCAGCCATTACTCGAGTCTTCAGTATCACATGATCCCTAGAAATTATTCTAATATGCTGATTTGGTGCTCAAGGAACATTTCAAATGATTATCAATGTTGAAAACAGTTGTGCTGCTTAATATTTTTGTGGAAACCATTATATATATTTTTGTCATGATTCTTTGATTAACAGAAAGTTCAACAGAGTTTATTTGAAATATAATTTTTTTTGTAACATTATAAAAGTTTTTACGGTCACTTTTGATTACTTTAATGCATCTTTGCTAATATTGCAGTAAGTATTGGATTGGATCAGTGTATTAGGCAGATTCATCGGCAATGTCATGGTGTTTAGGTCATATTCAGGCGGAAATTCAATAAAAATAATTTCACAAGCATTATCAAAATCCATTTTAGGAAAAGGGAATATTCGGTTCAACCTTTAGATAATGGGACATTCATAAAGTCACTTAGGTACGCAGTACAACACAATCAAACTTCAGAAAGAATAAAAGCACATGGGAGAAAAAGATACCGATACTCTCATGAACTGACCAGAGAAGAGACTCAAACAACAGAATTTCTATGAAAAGGTATTTAATGTTTTGGTTTACTGTGATAAGTAGGATATTATTTGGTGAAAAACTACATTTTCTGAGAGGTTTGTGTGATAATAATCAAATGCAGAAAGCAGCAACGCTCTTGGTGGATAACCTTGAATCGAAAGTGTCAAAAATGCCACACACAGACTAGGTATGAATGTGGCTTTTGTTTTTATTTTTATGGCATTCAAAATACATTAATAACAGAGACACTTCCTTTCAAAATTCAGTGGTTGATGAATGCATTTTTTTCCTTATATTTTTTGCAAGAAGCCTGCAACCAATCTTGACTACTGTCAAAAGTTTAGAGTTGTTAAGATTTTATGTTTTTAAGAGAAATCTCAAATGCTCACCAAGGCTGCATTTATTTGATAAAAATACAGTATTTAAAAAAAAAAAAAAAGCAATTTATGGCAAAGCTGGATTTTCAGCAGCCATTAACACCTGTCTTGACACATGATGAGAACTCATTATAATATGCTGATTTGGTGTTAAAAAAAAAAGATTCTAATTACTATGAATGTTGAATTGAAAACAGTTGCTTCATATTTTTGTGGAAACATTGTTTTTTTCAAGATTCTTTGATAAATAGAAAATTCCAAAGTAACAAGCACTCATTTGAAAAATAAATCTTTTGTTAACATTAGAAATGTCTTTATGTCACTTTTGATCAATTGAACGCATTTTTGCTGAATAAAAGTATTTGTCTTTATTAAAAAAAAATACTGACCCTGAACTTTTGAATCGTAGTGTAATTACATATACATGTTTTTTTGGCGGGGTTCCCCTGGTAAAATTCGCAATCCAATAACTATCATGTTATTTGGGTCGCTTCAACCCCAGCGACTTCCAAAACCGCGGACTTGGCAACACGGAAAGAGGAGACAGGAAATTTTTGGGAAGAAATAGAGAGAAAATGTAATTAGACCATGATTCTAACTGGATTCGAACCTGCATCTCCCAATGAGCACCAAGGCTCAAAATTTCTAGAGCACTTGTTCTAACCACTAAATGTGGGATTTGGGACCCGATGCAGACCAAAAACCAACCATAATTAGCGAGAACCAAGCTTATGATTCTGCAGCATGTGCATGTTTTGAACGTTTTAGCAGCTTCAGAGTGACCAGACTCCTCTCAAAATATGAGAGTTGCCAAACAAATGCATTTTTTGTTAAAAGCAGAGAGGCAGGAACTAAATGGACAATGAGCTAATTGGGATCTGGAAATAACATACACAACTTTCAACGCTCACGGTGTGAATTTTGAGTCTCAGGTGACTGTGAAACTGGACTTACCTTATTTCCTCCAGTCACAAACTGTTTATTGTTGGATTTGCTGAACTGGGGGTGTAGAGCCACAACCTGGAATTGATCAAGAGATTTCTGTTCATTATACTGCAACATCTGAGTTAATATCAATATATACTCCAGTACTTCTGAAGCCATATAGTGCCTCAGAGGGGGTTAAGACTACATCCAGTCTGAAAACATGCTCGAAAAAGTCCTTTTTAACCAAGGAAAAGTTAAAAGATTGATCCTCACAGTCCAATACACAGAAGTATCGACATAAGAAGATGACAGCGCCGGCTCTCTTTAATGTGTGCCATAGGTGACATCACTCATGCTCAACAAACAGGCGGCTCATGCATGATATGAAATGCCCTAGAGAAATCAATTAAGACTAGTAGCAGGCTGAAATTACATTGTTTTCGAGAATTATCCATGTTAGCTGTGATGAGAAATCGAAATCAAAGGGCTATTTCCCATCAGGCAGCAAAACCGGGGGACCGACAACTTGCATTAACAGCAATAAGTTACCTTGATGGGATAGTCAAGGTTTTCGTGGAAGCCCTCCCTGGTGTACAGGCCGAACACTTGCACCTGGAAAAGATGAGAGAGAGAGAAATGGAGAAAGAGAGACAGAGATGTCTTTTTAAGGTAAAATCACTGTGGTCCAGAGATGCGTTCTGCGATAACAGTTGACTTGGGCAAAGCATCAGACCATCCAGTGGGCTAGTTAACCATCTGCCAGACTCCCAATTAGTGGAAAGGGCAACTCTTTCTGCCCTTGCACGCCTTTATGCTACTGACTTAATCACTAGCGGTGCTGCAGTCCCCGCCGGCTACAAACAAGCGTTAACACAACATTTCACCTACACCTGTCTGTATAAAACAAGAGGAAACTAAAATGAGTGTGAGGTCTCAAAAAAGTACAACTCTATTGAAAAGTAAAGCATCCTCTTGCATTTAAGATGATGGTGGGGAAAATAAACTACTGACTTCAAATTGTTCATGTCTTTCTGGTCAGGCAACAAGCTTTGCTATTCTGAAAAACATCTATTTTAAAGGGCAGTTTTCTACTTCTTGGAAAAACCTAAAAAAGACTCTTCCTCTTAAGAAATGTGTCATATTTTGCATAACATCAATAGCAAAGTGACTGGTAAGTGCAGAACAGCAAACAAAGGCCTCTATATTGATTTGTAATAGTTTAATGCTTAATAATTAACAATAGTTTAATAATTTCATAGTTTAACATATGAAAAAGTTTGCTATTATTAATTGTGAATTGCCAAGATCATTCACTGAAAACATCATGAAACATATTTTACTTTGGAAAATACCAACTTCAAATTGTTCGTATGCTTCCTTTTCCATTGCTAACTAGTATGAAAATCATAATTTTCAAAGCGCCGTTTATACTTATTGGAAAAACCTAATAATGAAAAAAAACTTCCATGTCACATTTTGCCAAACAACAGTAGCAAAGCAGTCGGTAAATTGGGATTAACAGTGCAGAGGAGCGAACAATGGCCTCCATATCGATTTTAATTGGTGTAGGTGCGACAGGATCTCGCCTCTGCCATAGGAACAGGAATAGACGTGGTCTATCATGCCACAGATCAGCCTGAGAAAGCCACACAAGGTGCTGATGATTAGCCTCCGTGGACTGATAACAACCAGCTCCTGATCAATGAGCAGATAGATGGATAGGAGCGATAGAAATCACAGAAGGATCGAGGAGTTCTTTTTTTAAAACACATTTTAAAATGGACCAAATGCTGTGTGGTGTTTCTGCAGGTGTCAGAGTTGACGGAGCTGGTATTGAGTGGGAAGACAGGCATCATGTCTTGCAAACAGAGAAAGATATGAAAACTCAAGTAAACAACTCCTTAGACTCTCGTGGGGAAATTCACTAAGAATGAACTGTGCGATGCTGATGGCATTGTTTATTTGCGTAAGCTGTGGATTTAGCACCCAGCTCACTAAATATACCTGAAAATCAGGTAATGGCATAAACACACTCAAAAGAATTAACGCTGAATGCAAATCCCCATTTTGCAGGTCAGTTATGAGTGCTGGGTTATGGAAGATGCAGCAGACTACCTTAATCTTACATACTTTGCTGGGGGTGTACAAAATCTCTCCACCACTGTGATACAGACACCTAAATATGTTTTTAAAATGCCAATAAATCACTAGTATTTTTATGTATGCCTCTTATAGTCATTTTAATTATGCCTTTTATCATTTTAATGAATTTATAAATTTTTTCCATTTAAAAAAAAAAGTTTTAATTGTTTATTATTATTATTATGTATTTGTATTTTTTTTTTCTTTTATGACTACTATTTTTAATCATTTTAATGTAAGACACTTTGAATTACAATTCTATATTAAATATAAATATATAATGAAAAATATATATAAATAAATATATATTGCCTTGCCTAGTTAATAGTAGCATGTGCATGTTATCCATCATTGGATCATCAATTAATAGCTGCTGCCATAATGGAACATATACACAAAGATTAATTTTTTAAAAATCAATTTATACAAAAGGATAAAAAACACGTTATACACAAAGTTTCTTTCTTTCTTTCTTTAATCAATTTATTGCCTAATTTCTGTGATTGTGATTTTACACCAATTTGAAATAGACTCCTACCTTAAAAAGTTGGTTGTAACTTATCCAATCCTAACAGAGCAGTTTAGTTCTGAGAAGCCTCTTAGACCAGCAGTTCTGAGAAGCCTCTTAGACCAGCCTGATGCTTAGCATGATTTACAGAAGTAGAACTTGTTCCTGGATAAACATTGTTTGTCCTGGAGCAACATTCCTATTGACCAATCACTGCGCTTGGATTTTAGGAGAAGGGACAGGAATAAGGCCTGTTAGCACTGATTGATAAGTCAATGCCCTTTGAATTAAGGAATAAATTGAGGGTTTGGGGTTTAGACTAGAGATGGGGCTGTGATTGGTTGATCGTAAAGGGTTAAAGGGGTCATATGATGCGATTTCAATTTTTCCTTTCTCTTTGGAGTGTTACAAGCTCTTGGTGCATAAAGAAGATCTGTAAAGTTGCAAAGACTAAAGTCTCAAATCCAAAGAGATATTCTTTATAAAAGTTAAGAGTCAGCCACACCTACCTAAAACGTCTCGTTCTAACAAGCCCCAACATACCTACGTCGCTCTGTGGGAAGATTTGCATAACGCCGCCCAAATGTTCACGCAAAGAAAGAAGGCGTAACTTTTATTCTCACTGTAGTATTGTTGCCGCCGCCATGTCCTGAAGACGCTGTGTGCTTCGTTGTGAAAGCGAAACTACTTTGTTTGGTCTTCCAAAAGAGGACGATATCCGCTTCGTCATGCCTAGAGCTGATCCATGCTGGTCGCTGAGGGAATACATCAACTTTGCGCTGTGGCTTGCTGGATCGGCTTTCACCATGGACGAAGCCTGGGATCGTCACATGTGCTTGCCGCACCTTCGTCGGATCCGCCAGCTGCACCGTTCTCGACCCCGCCGCCTCTGCTCACTCTAGCCCGGCCTCAGCTCACGCTAAGCCGGGGCTTCCATCATATGACCCCTTTAATAAAGTAAGTTAAAGAACAATGGGAGCTGAAGTGAATGAAGGAAATTCTCACCTTTCCATCTTCAGAGCAGATGCCAACATGATCACCGCTCTCATCCAAACTGATCTGGTTTATTTTCACTGAACTCTGTAAGAATAAATAGAACATAGAAGAGAAAAGACAAAGGAGTAAAAAAAAAAATGGTATAATCAGACATAACATAGCTCAAAAATGGACAGATCTATAACAATTACACAAAGATAATTTCAGACTTGCAATTTCAAACTTCTGTGTAACATTTCCTTGGATATCCAGAAGGTAAACCTTCCCAAAGTGTGTCCCAAGAGCCAGGAACTGAAAGCAGAAGGAGACACAAACATGTCAGACACACAAGTCAAAACCACGGGACATCCTTCACTTATACAGAGTTAAAAGCTGTGGAGGAGGTATTAAAAATGAGTTTTACCAGGCATGGCTGTGAGGCCTCAGTGTTTGTGCGTGTATGTGAGAGTGTGCATTTGTGTGTGTGGTTTCGGCTGGACCCTACGAGGGCAAAAAGTGTGAAATTGTTGGAGGACAGGAAAGCCTATTTATCAGAGCGGCCCAGTGTGAAATAGTGTTTTTTTCCCCGACATATCAAAACGCTTCAACATAATATATGCGCCACAGGTCACACATCTCTGCCCTCCACACCAACACTCTGCCTGTCAGACTAATGCAATTACATTTCAGAGTTTAACGTACGTAAACGTTCAGTATTATCTCATGTGAACAGCCAATACCAACCAATTCAAAATTTGTCATTAAAAAAACTAAATTAATTAGATAAATTAAACTTAAGTTTACTTTTCTAGTTTTACAGTTTGAAAGGTCTAGGAGTATATTATAAATTATATTATAGATATAAAGCTCACACACCAAAATTTTTGAAGGCTGCTTACTAAATAGTGCATGCATTTCCAGGCAACATCGTAAATCATCGGTTGTAACCTATTTATCTTCCTATTAATTTGTTAACTGAAACAAGATGTTAAAACAATTAAATAACTGTAATTATATGCAAAAGTAATTAATAGAGTTCTATATACAACTTTATATAATTATATGCAAAGGTATAGTGCAAAGAGTTCTATATACAACAGGTGGTTGGAGGGGAGGGGCTTATAATGAGGTCTAGTGATGTCAGCAGAAAAGGAAAGTTGTTTCAGAGTCAGAGCAACTTACAGTATTATACTTTCATTAAATATTACAAGCCATTTTTCCCCTTTGGAATAGCACGTGCTGATGAATGAGAAAATATAATGATATAATGAGAGTGGGAATATGTTTTAAAGGGGTCATATAATGCTACATGCACTTTTACAAGTTGTTTGAACTGAAATTGATCTACATAAATTAATTACCTTCATTAATTAAGTAATTAATTAATTAATTACTATGTTCGCGCAAATCATTCGTGATCCAGCTTCACCTACAGAAGAAGTGAGTATAAGGTTTTTTTAATGAATATTTGCAAATCGCCTTTCCTAATAATGTGCTAATTAGCAAGTTTCACGATGAATGCGGCTAAAGTAGCGCAGAAGAGAGGGGCGGGGTCAGCAGAGCTCATTAACATTTAAAGGAAAATGCTACAAAACTGCATGCTCTGAAAAGAGCTGTTTTTGACAGGGCAAAAAAGGTGTTTTTTAGACTACCATTGAGAAATTTTAACCAAACTATGATACAGACTTTTCATTAAGACCCTAAAGAATCATATCATCTTGTGGAAAATGGGCATCCTATGACCACTTTAAGAAATATGATATATTTTCAGTTAATGTTGATTTCAAAAAGTCACTCAGTAGTCACAGAATATTACATACAGTATATCTTCACCAGCAGAACATTTCTTACAATAACATGTTGACATGGTATTCAGCAGATTAACACTATTTCATCTGGATCAATAGGTGAAACAACTGTCCCAGAGCAAGCCAGGTAATTTTCTCAATTCTCTTCTTCTTTTTCTTAATATTATTATTTATTTATTGTAAATCAATTATCACAACAGTGATAACAGGGACAAGTATAAGTGAAGATAATAGTAGGCCTATTGATATAAAAAATTTAAATTATAATTACTGGACAACATTACAATAATTGATCATAACATTACATACATTATAATAAATTGTTTCTAAGTCTACACTGATTTTTAGATATTACACATTAATACTGATTCATTGCTGTCTGAGTCTGACTGAAAATCAGGCATACAATTAAAAGCTGCATATTTTTTAAGCCTACACTTTGTGTTAATATTCACTAATTTGCATTATTGCAGTTAGGTAATTAAGTATTCCAACCAAGAGTAGTGAGTTCTCTTTTTCTTGTCAATGTTATTGTTTGATTATTTGATTGTTTGATATTTCCAATTAATTACCAAGGCCCTGGTGAATGAAATCAGTGAATTCCATGTGCTCCCTTCTGTTACATAAATATTGGTCATTAAAGTAGCATAAAGCTGATTTTGGATTTTATTAGCTACAGAAGAGCATAAGATGTGCATGCGCTTTGCATAGTGTCACTCAGGTTAAACAAATAAAATGAAATCAGGCCACATAAGGTGATGTTCAGTCCAGTCCAACCACCAACCTAAAATTAGTCTGACACCCTGCAGATTTGGGTCTATCACTCTGCCATCTGAAAACTGAACCCAACAAATGAACCCAACACACAGAATGAGTCCAGCTCTGAAACTGAGGTTACCCTGCGTCCAAACACATATACACACACACCTGCTTACACGTGCACAGACCTTTTCCTGTCGCAGCACACCGAGCCGCCCCATGCTTCACTGCAGTCTATAATGAAATGCTTATATTTACAGGCACAGTCGAGCATGTCCAACAGAACCCCCCGCAATCTCCCCAAATAAAATCAGCCAAAAATAAATAAATAAAAGGTGTGGCCTCACCAGCCTCAGTGGCTCTTAAAGGGATTTATCAAAATGGAATTGCTGAAATGAAATTTGGATTCCTGGCACTTAAACTATGAGGCAACATTAGGTAGGAGGGCCGCTGGCACGAGCGTGTTCTTGTGTGTCTAGGTGGCGGAATGCACATCGGAGCACATGCATAAAAGACTAAAGGGAAGAAACAGATGCAGGGAATGATAGAGCTAGACAAAGTGAGAGAAGGTGAAAGAGTGAAAAAAGGGGGGACTCATTGGAAATTCAGCTTTTCAACGTCTTCTCTTCTTGCAAGTTTGCCTTTTTGTTGTTTTTTTTTTTAAAGATGGAAGAAGAGAAAGGGGGGAAGAGTCCCCAGGGAAAAGCAGGAAAAGAGGGGGAAAAAAAATTAAAATCAATAGCGGTTAATAAAACATCAGGTGAGGAGACATAACTAGGTATGACTATTCCTCCATAGCGTCTGTGCATGAGTGAACCGGCTGCCATGACGATTAACCAGCCCACATAGAATGTTCCACCAACAAAAATATCAAGCCCGGGAAAAACACGGAAAGAAGACATAGAAATCTAAAGGTAGAGGAAATAAGCAGGAAATCAGCAAAATGTTGGTGGCCTGTGAGCATTTGTGCCTAAGCACTTCTCTAAGAAAAGTACAGTGTGGAGAAGACAAGTCAAAAATATTATATTCAGAACTACACAAGTGTAATAATAATAATCTGCTCCAAATCTTTGCATTTAAGAATTAAAAAAATATATATGAAAAAGAAAAAAAAACTATAAATCTAGAATTAGATTTTTAAAACAGTGAAAACAAGTTACAATTAAGTTTCTAATTAAATAATTACATTTCTGTACAATGTGAAATACATCCAAACACTCAAAAAAAACCTGCACTGTATATGCACATCATGTCCTACACTTTGTTTCTTAAAAACATGCAAAATAGCTTTTAAACACCTTGTCATGCACTGTCATGCAGCTGGCCGCATCCTTCTGCAAGATCTCGGTCACACCATTGGTCAGCCTCTCATACTTCAGTTTAGGCTCCTCCTCTGTATCCTCCTCCTGTACAAACAAAACACACCCATTCTTCACTAACCTTTAGCTCAAGAGGCACCACCAGAGTATACAATTTATTTACACATTCATAATTAGTATTAGTAATATGCAGGGTGTGATTTTTTAAGGGGGGATGGGGGGATTTCCCCCCTTCTGGTCTATGTATCCCTGCCTCTGCTGAATTATTTTTTATACCCGGTGGGGATAACAAAAACAAAAAAATCCCCCCGGGTGATGCTTCCACACCAACAACCAACAGAGCATATAAAATACCAAAAGTAAAATATATTTTTTATTAAGCAAAATACTGCAACGTGACAATACAAACAACAATAAAATCAGAAATGGACTGTAACTGTCAGTGCTCCCACTTAATAGAAACTGTCTGGATTTCGTCATCCTGGTTCTCACCGTGTCCTAACTAAACGTGATGCGACAAGATTCCAGTGACAAGCAATTTGGGTGTCCAACATAGACTGTAAAAAAACATGGACTTAGTGTCCGTGACGTCACCCGTAGGTTTCTAAAGAGTGTTTTTGAAGCTCAAAGTGGGCGTAGCTGGCCGTCGCCATCTTGGCAGCGCGTCACTCCCGGATAATCGAAAATGGGCAGAGGCGGGAGCTGGTTGCTGAAACCACGCCCACCTAGCTCGACGGTGGTGACAGCAGCGGCAATCCACCTGTCACTCAAGTGCACACGCCCTTAATTATGCAGAATTTTAAGGCTTAATATAATTTAAACGGATGAGTTATAACAAAAATTCACCCCCCTCACAGTTGTCATGAAGGGCAAAATTAGCTATATAGACCAAAATCATTTTTTGAACCAGGCTGTAAACGTTTTTTTTCTGCTGTAAAGTTGGGCATTTTAACATGGGGAGTCTATGGGATTGACTCCCTTTTGCAGCCAGCCTTTAGCGGCCAGTTAACGAATTACAGTTTAAGTCACTTCCGTGTTGGTTTCACGAGAGAGACCGGAAGGTTGCCGCTTGGTGTTCACACCAGACGCGACGCGATACCACGACGTGACAGAATCAATCAAATATCACAGCCAATCAGAAGCATGTGTGGGCGGGCTCTCTCTGGAAGCACACTGCACTCACAACCATATAGATACGTTTATAATATAATTAATACATTTTAAAGCTTTTTAACATTATTAAATGTACATACTGAGTGACTGATAACATCTTTGTTATGGAATACACTCGTTGGTTCGCAGTGAGTCCACAGTTTTAACGGACATCTTTGCTTATATTTATTTTCAAGATCTGAGGTAAACTATCGGTTGCTTTCATTATGGCTACAAGCAGTGCTTGAAGTGGAAAAAAAGAAGTGCCGGTACTCACCCCCCCCCCCCCCCAATTTTTTT